TCCAGGGGACTAGTGAATACCGGGCTGCTAGCTTCCAGAGATGGACGAGATATGAGTCAGTCTCTCGGGTAGCAGTCAAAAAAGTTAAGGTACTATGTGTGTGGTACAAAACCTTTTCTGCTCAAGGAAAAGCTGGAACTTGGGTGTTCCCTCCTGATTGTATGGCACTTGCTGGGAGAGGGGTTTATGGCAAGATTATGTGTCAATTTTTCCTATTCATTTTGACGTGGATATTTTCTCAGTTGCCTAGTGTGGAAGAGTCTCTCAACTAGTTTCTCAATTTCTTACAGACACAATTGATCCATGTGTAGTTGTTTATTCAGTGTGTCCATACTGATAAATTTAAGTTAAAAAATCCAGTAGCCAGAGGAAGATTGGCACAGATGTTAGCTCAGGGACAATCTTCCTCAAGCAAAAAGAGGAAGAGTGACAATAAATGTTAGCTCAGGACCAATTTTCCTCAGCAAAAAAAAAAAATTAATTAATTAATTAAAAAAAATAAAAAAATCCAGCAGCCATGTAAGTGTATTTTTATTCCACAGAAATATTTTAGATTTGCATCCTTTCAATCCAATGTTAAATATATGACTGGAGTATGTACTCAATCAATATGTGTTCATCAAATGAATGGATCAGCATGGAGTATTACTTAAGCATGCTTTCCATTTACATAAACTCTGAATTGACCTTTATTTTCCTTAAAAAAGATAAAATCACTAAAAGGGGAATATAAATCAAACAATTGGTTGTATAATCTCTAGGATTCTCAAAACATCTTCTAGTTACAGATCTAAATTCTTAGACTCATTATAACTATTTTGATGTGCATAAATATGTTTGAATTTCACATAGAAATCCCTTTTTACTCATGTGCTTCTGCTCTAGTATAATTTAAAAATATAGATATGTGCTATAACTGATGATATATGAGATAATTCTTTCCAGTATATAAATCATTTTTAAAAGAGAATTCATCAAGCTTCAAAGGTACTGTGCTCAGTATTTCCTTTTCAATTGAAGATTAAAAAATTCTCAGTAGTGTAAAAATGAAGCAGACAGTGCTTTGGCTTGCCAGCAGAGAATTCTAACTCTACAATTATATATGAAGGAAAATCACTGGATATTCTAACTAAAATATGGTTTAAAATTGGAAATGGAATTTCCTTTTCCATACTTTTTTTTGTTAAGAGAGAGAAAAGAAAGCAAATAAAGAACAGTGTTTGTGTCTTAGAAGTTCAGTCTACAGCTAAATAGAGTAACTTATTAATAGAGTCCCATGAACTTAACAAAATTTTTAAATGTTGGACAGCTACTGTATATTTATATATAATCTCTGTAGCTTCATACTATGTTTGTGACAAAAGGGTGTAGTTCAGTAGAGTGAAACTGATTATGCTATTTGCAACATTAATTCTCTTTGCATTTGCTTGGAGGAAAAAACATGCATGAGAAATGCTAATTTTTGACTGTGCCTATCTCGGATAGAGCTAATGGTACAAATAATCCTAATTCTAACCTTTTGGAAACACAACACTTTTGAGAATTATGTGTTAGATAATTGTAGAGTAAACAAGTGGTTCTAAAAATGGACTGATATTCAGATATATACAGTTATTCTATGTTTGTCCATTTCAATAATCAAATAGATTCTGATCGCAATTGTATTGTACATAGATTCCTCATTTTGTTTTTCTGAAATTTCCTTTTTCCCCCAAGGTCCTAATTTTGGTTGCTACAAGTGAAGCATGTTATATATTTTTAAAATCTGCAATCAGAAAACTTGAGTTGGTAGGAATCTTTTGGATCATTTAGTCCAAATAATAACATTTCATAGATGAGTAAAAAAAACAAACTGAGAAGAAAAAGAGGAAATTTTTCTAAGATAATTTAAGTAGTTAGAATAGAGCTCAAGTTTCCTCCTAGTTTCTTAACAAAAACACGCCTACTCTTTTATTTTCATTATGTTGGTGTTTGATGGGCAGATATTAAAAAAAACACATCTGCTATTCTACTGTGGTAGGTAGAATACACTTATTGATAATATCAAGCAAGTAATTTTGCAGTGTAGGAATAATAAACCATCTTTAAAGTCTCATTTAACTCACTTTTCTAAACAAAAGTAATTCAAGAAATTTTAACTGAGCAAAACAACTAAACAACCAATATAACTACACAACACTTGAAATACAGTGCATACCAATGCATGGATTATATTTTTTGAGCTGTATATCAAGGTGAAGATAAAACATTAAAATGTTATACATAAAAATTGAACTCTCATTTAAAAAAATTAATTCCTTAGATAAGAGAGAGAGAGAGATTTATTATAAGGAACTGGCTCACACAATTATGGAGGCTGAGATGACCCAAGCCCTGCAGTTGCCAAGCTGGAAGCCCAGGAGAGTCAATGTGTAGTTCCAATCCAAGTCTAAAGGCCTGAAAACCAGGAGAGCCAATGGTGCGTGTTCCAGTCCAAAAGCTAACAAGCTTGAGATCCAAGAAGAGCAGATGTTTCAGATTGAATCTGAAGGCCAGGAAAAACCAATGTCCCAGCTCAAGCAATCAGGCGGGAGGAATTCCTTCTTACTTAGCCAGTTGCTCTATTCAGGTCTTTGGTTGATTGAATGAGGCCCACCCCCAGTAGAGAGGCAATCTGTTTTACTTTGTCTACTGATGCAAATTTTAATCTCACCCAGAAACTCCTTTACAGATACACCCAGAATAATGTTTGACCAAATGTCTGGGCACCCCGTGGATTAGTCAAGTTGACATGTAAAATTAATCATCATACCAGGAAAATATTAACAGTAATTTGAACCAGGTTGTTGTCATTAGACTGTAATTAGTGAAGGTGGACAAATAATATTGAAGCCACAGAGGTAGATGAAAGCACTTACAGATGTAGGGTAAGAGAAAAGTGGGCCCATGACGGAAACCTGAGGGCTTTCAATACTAAAGTGTAAGAAAGAAGAGGGGAGGACACAGTGAAGATTGACACGGAGAAAGACAGATAGGAGAAAAACAAGGAGAACATCAGTTGTGGAAGCCATTCAAGTGGGATTCTGCAAAGGATGAAATGGTTAATGGTGTCAATTGCCTGTGTGGGTTAAGCAAAATAGGACTAAAATATATTCCTCCTATTTAGCTGCAATGTCATTAGAGTCTTAGTGGTGGAGTGGTGGAGCCAAAGTCCAGATTGGAGTATGTTGAGCTGTAAATGGGATTTGATTAAGAAAAAAAAAAAAAAAATGGAGAGAGTGAGAGCAAGGTGCTCATACAGGTGAGCAGAGACGTAAAAATGAGACTATAGGCTTCAGTTTGAAAGGGCCATGCGGCAAAAGGAACAGTTAAATGAGATGCAAGTTTCAAGGAAAGAGATTCTAATCTTGACTATACCCTGAATTTTCCAAAGATAATCAGTTGTCAGTCACCTGCATTTAAAATAAAGGTGGTAGAGTTGACATAAATCTATAAATGTTTCTAAAAGAGTTAGTCTGCATACACTGCCCACAACATTTTCATATATTGGATTTTTCCTTGCTGAGTTTCCAACCCAGAACGTATAGAAATTATTCCTTAAATAGGGAAAATGTAGATATAATTCTGGCAAATATCACTCTGTATCATGTCATTGCTGGTTTTCTGTAATCTAACCACAGGACCTTCCTTCATTTCCTATAGCTCAGCAAGCTCCATCAGGTAATTTGCCCAAGATTTTCCCTCTTCCTGAAATAGTTTCCAGAACTCTACCCCACCTCTATCTGCTCTCTTTTATTTAATTAATGCCTATGGGTCTCAGGTCAATCCTTTACTTAGAGATGGTTTTCCTGACCTCCCTTATGAAAACAACTTCCCCTAATAAATGTTATCTCATTAAATGCCTCTTCTCTTGGAAATTTCCTGAATTTTTTTACATTTATCAAGTGGTCCTTTAATAATATATATCCAACCCACTAGAACATAATCTTTATTAAAATATAGTCAATTATATTTTCTCCTTTCACTGTATCCACAACACCTATGAATCCCTCACAAAAATGACAGGCTCAATAAGTATGTGTAGAATGATTGAATATACAAAACCAAGCTGAGTACATTTAGCTAAAGATTGGAAATATGTGTGAATAAGCTAGCTAAGATGATCTGTTTCAGTCTTGACATATAGTAACTACCAATATTGCTTTTAAAAGATGAAGGTCGGGCCGGCCCTGTGGCTTAGTGGTTAAGTGCGCGCTCCGCTGCTGGCGGCCCGAGTTCGATCCCGGGCGCACACCGAAGCACCGCTTCTCCGGCCATGCTGAGGCCGTGTCCCACATACAGCAACTAGAAGGATGTGCAGCTATGACATACAACTATCTACTGGAGCTTTGGGGGAAAAAATAAATAAATAAATAAATTTAAAAGATGAAGGTCATTTTTCTAAAATGATACATGAAATTTCATTATATTTTTATTTATTATTATATCAAATATAATACCAAATTTATATTTGATACTTATTTGGGGAATAACAACTTATACAAGTTTTCCTTCCTATGAGATTTTCTAAAACATTTCAGTGCTGTTGAAAGTTTTTTCTTCTATGAGGAAAGCTGAATGAAAAAGTCCCAGATGTAATAGGACATATAACCTACAATATCTAATAATTTGTTTCAAGTGGTTTGAGTTATCTAATATAAGAAGTTGTAGCATTGAGAATTGTATAGTAAAAATATTTTACTCAATACAATGACTGTATGCATTTTTCATAACCAGCCAGTGAACGACATATTTTTAAATTTTCCTAGGAATAAACAGGAAATACGTAATCACAGACTAACAGGTTTTCAGGGAAACTTCTGCCATCAGTGCAATTTCTCTGAGGGCAGCAACCTCATCTACAGCATTTTAGGTAGATATTCACGTATTCTCTTCTGCAATAATTCTAAATGCTTTAGACAGAAGCCAGTTTTTTGATAAAATCTCTAATTTTCAAAAAGTTCTTCCTTATGTTGATTCAGCATTTCTCCCTTTGCAATCCTGAGTTTTTTATTCCAAGCCATCTTCCAGAACAGCGTAAGAAATTTCTAATCTTTCTTTCACCATCCCTCAAATATTTGCAAACTTCTGATTCCTTCCTTTGGAGGTAAATATCTTTGTCCCACACAGACCATGATTTTCAAGATGCTTATAACAAAAGCAGTCAGTCATGCCTGCTCTAAGTTGCACTTGAGAATTTTGCTGATGTTAAATTTCAGCTTGTTTCCATGTTATCGCTCATTGTTTTTTTTACCACTTTAGCTCTCTCTCTTAGCTTTGTTTAATCGACAAATGTTCTAAGAAAATCCTCTCCATTTATAACAAAACATTAAGAAAGAATAAACCAACTAAGACAAAGAAGAAAGTTCTATTGATCACTGATAGACATCTCTTCCATTTTCAGAAATTTTTCAGATTATATAATCTGAAACTGTTCAAATCTCTATAAAAAGTTAAGTACAGCTGGCTGCCTTATTCGCGGGTTCCACATCTGTGGATTCAACCCACCAAGGATGCAGGATCGAAAGGCCTATGGAAAGGCCTACAGTGGTTGGGTCTGTACTGAACATGTACAGATTTTTACTCTTGTCATTATTCCCTAAATGCTACAGTATAATAACTATCTATATAGAATTTACATTGTATTAGATATTATAAGTAATCAGGAGATGATTTAAAGTAGACAGGAGGAGGTGTGTGGGTTATATGCAAATACTAAGCCAATTTATGTAAGGGACTTGAGCATCCATGGATTTTCATATTCTCAGCGATTGTGGAACCAATCCCCCATGGATAATGAGGGACGACTGTATGCTGGATTACATTTGACAAATACACTTTTTTGTAAACAGAGATGAGCTTTAAAAAAATGTATTAGAAATAGCCAAGAACCAACAATGGAGAGAAGGTTGAAAAACAGAACAGAAAGCAAAAACTAATGACTGGTTTGCTACTTTGGGGGGTAAAAGAGTCTTCAGTTACCTCAGTAGCCAAGTAGTTTGGGCCCCCCAAAAAGCAGGCCACTTTAAGAGACCAATACTCAGTGAAAGTGTGCATTAGGGAAAATGCATGCAGAGGCAAAAGATGATGATAAGCAAGACTGAGTGTCTCCTTCTGGGCTCCAGGAGAAGAAAAAAAATGCTCGTCCCTGACAACTAATAACCACAGGTCTTTTTTGATGTCCGCTTGGGTTTGAGTTAACATATGTGTATGGTTTTGTAAACCCAGACAGATAAATCACAATTAAATAGTCCTAGACTGTTAATAAAATTGGTGTGCCTGAAAAAATAAAATTCAAAATGACTCTCTGTTGAGGAAAATAAAGATCCTCAAAAAAGTTCAGTATCCTGACCTGACAACATTCCCCTGAACAGGAGCTTACATTTCAAAATAAAAAAAGTACATTATAAGGAAAAAGTATGTGTTAGTAGAAATGACAAATAGCAGAATTAGACTATATCAGAAAGGTCAGATGGTGGAAAATGAGTATTAAACAACTGTATTTCAAGAACATGGGAAAATTGTAAGTTACTGTATTAAAATGAGGACATTTAATAAATAGAAATTCAAAAATTAAAAAAATATTCATTAGAATAAAAAACTCAAGGGATGGGGCAAAAAAAGGCACATAAAACTGAAAGGAGAATTTGTAAACTGGTTTTTGGCGTTAAATAACTTATACTAAATGAAGAACAAATAGATAAAGAGATGGAAACTATGAGAAAAATTAGTCGAAATGAAGGATATAATGAGAAGATCTAACATTGTACGTCTAGTGGAAGAGAATATTTGAGAATTCTGAACACAGGCAAAGAGAAGCTTGAAAAGTGACACAGAATTAAAGAGACAAACTTATAAAAGAATGAAACAATTTGACTGACAGACGTTCTAGAGCAATAAAGAAGGCAACAGAGAGTTAAATAATTTCTTCAAAGTGCTGAGAGAGATGCTGTCAAACTAGAATACAAGAATCTGCCAAGCTATCATTTTTAATGAAAGAAAACAAAGAAATGTTTAGATTTTTAAAATTGGGGATATTTCCAATCCACAACTCTACCAAACAATGTATTTCTAACCTTGAATTTTAGGAAGAATAAAATTAAATCCTGAGGGAAGATATTCATTCCAAAAGGAATGGAGGTGAAATAAAAAAAGTTAGCATGTTGGGAAATAAAAATTCGTGTTATATAAAACAATAATCATGATAAATCATTTGAGAAGGAGGTGAAATAAAAGAAATTCTAAAATACTAGACAATAATTACCTGTAGAATGGGAGGGAGTGATCTGAGGAAAATTATTCCAAGGTGTTTGTACTGTCTGGAAGGTGACTAGAAATATTTATGATTGATTGGTTAAGTCAGGTATAAATACTTAAAACATAGGGGCATCCAATATAAGAATAGATACAGGTCTTCAGCTTCTACACACCAGATTTCAGAAATAAGTAATAAAACAGAAAGATAGAGGAAACAAAATAAAAAGAAAATACAGTAGTAGACCAATATCCCCAGTGTGATATTGCAGGCAAGTGGAAGGTAATGTAAGTATGGAATTATTGGTAAATCATAAAGAACTATTTTTTTTTCCGGAGTGTACTGCAGTTTACAAAGTAATTCCATAATTATTTTTAATCTTTACAAAACTTCAATTTTATAAAAAAGGTCATTTGCTTGGGTTTTACAGATAAAGTATTGAGTTATTTTTTTCTTTGAGTATATATTTATTTGTGGAATTTATTTATAAAACCAAAGAGACTAGAGAAAAATATTCAAATCCATGTCTTCTGCTTCTAGGTCAAGAGTCTTTTCTATTTGCAACTCAATCTACAGTCATTCAAACAAATGTGAAAATATGGACCATGATAAAACCCACTTTACCAAACTAATATAAGATATACTGCCCTATTCCACGCTGAAATCAATTTACGTTGTTTTTGCCATTCTCCAGACATAATCCTTTAGAAAAGGAAGCAAATTTAGATGTAGATTCCTGCTGCTTCTGTAAGCTGTTTCTTACTGTGATCACTGTCTCCTTAAGTGGTCATGAAATTTGTTTAATATTCTCTTCCGGAATTTGGAAAAAAGTCAGCATCAAGTTTACTATCTTGTATTTTTCATCTGTCTCCTCATCCCACCAATAATTTGAACAAAAAAGTGACTGGCTCTTCTCTCATCTCCTTAAATTCCTAATTTTTAAAAATTACATATTTAAAGAATCACTAAGACATATGTTAAAACCTTCTGAAATTAAGTAGGGACTTAAGTCACTTATGGTCGTTAGGTGTTTTGTTATATTTTTATTCTCCAGTTTTCAATTTGCAACTGATTCTCATCCGAAGTTCAGCAGAAAGCAAAACAGAAAACTCACTTTTCTCATTCTTTCATTTTTCATCCTTGTGCCTTTGGTTCCAACATTGGTATTACTCTTTCGGTCATCTTTTTGTTTGACTATGCATTAAAACAAATGAACAATCCTAAGACAAAACACAATTATTGGTTTTCTTAGAAGCTTTTACTATGGTGCTTTCAATTTTGGCTCTCTGTTCCTTTTACCATTCTCTAACTTCATTTCACACACTAGTTTCTGCCTTGCTTATGAGTATGATGATCTACCTTTTGTACATTTTATATTCAGAAATAAATTTGTTATGAAGATTTCTTTGCATCTACTAATCAAAAGGTTTTGTAAATTTGCATAATATTGCAATAATAAAAGAAATGATCATTTTGTATATTATATATAAAGCAGAAAGGTTTAATTCACAAGATGTTCTAAAAGTCGGACAGATAACCAAGTAACCGTATAGCAGTCTCTGAGGTGGTACTGCTTAGGGTTAACGGCTGATTCTACAATTACTAAGTTGATGATTTTTCAACTTATCTAAATATTTTGTGCATCTGTTTTTTTGTTGGGAAATGGAAATAATTTTCTCATAAAATTATGGTAAAAATTTGAATCACTTAAAGCTTTTTAAAGTGTGATAACTCTTACCTGTAGCCTCCAGCAGCAGGCCCACCAGCTAATGGACCTCACACCAGGCACACCCACTTGCCGGGTATCAGGCCCACCCACGCTCCTGTGGCTCCTGGCAATAGAACCACCCTCCTGCAGAACCCAGCTCCAGGCCTACCCACGACACCAGCCTGCTTAGAACTCTGGCCTAAATGTCCTTTGTGGAATAAATGAATAAAGAAATTGTGGTATATACATACACTGGAATATTACTTATCCTTAAAAAATAAGGAAACCTCTCCATTTACAACAACATGAATGAATTTGGAGGACATTATCTAAGTTAAACAAGCCAGTCATAGAAGCGCAAATACCATATGATACTGCTTACGTGAGGAAACTAAAATAGTCAAAATCATTGCTGTAAATTCTGCTTCAAATTAATTGAAGCAGATAGTAGAATGGTGGTCGCCAGGGGGTGGGGGGAGTGGAAAATAGTAAGGTATTAGTCAAACAGTACAAAGTTTCACTTATGCAAGTAGAATAAATCCTAGAGATCTACTGCATGGCATTGAGATAGTTAATACCATATTATTTACTTGAAATATGTCTGAGAAGGTAGTTCTCACGTTAGATATTCTTATAAAAATAACTATAATAATAAATAAAAAGGATAGAAGAAAACTTTTGGAGGTGATGGATATGATAGACTTACGGCAAGGATTGTACTGATGGTTTCATGGGTGTATAGTTATCTCTGAACTCATCAAGTTGTATACATTATATATGTACAGGTTTTTGTATGTCAATCAAAAATGTCGCCTCAATAAAGTGGTTTAAAAAATTGTGATAACCTTTTATATATATATCATATATATATATCATATATATATATATGATAATGAAAAATATGACTTAGGGAAACCCTTGTTAACATTTTTTTTTAACTTCTAAAACCCTATTAATAACCAACTTATTAAATGCCTACTAAGTTCCAAGCAGGCAGTGCCCTCTGTTTTACATGCATTAAACAATTTTA